TTTAATCACGAAAGGACTTGTATCACTGAAGTTCCTCGGAAATAATTTCTACTGGAAATTATCAAACAAGCAGATACTTAACATTATTATAGCAAAACAATATTTATAGTATTTGCTTACTACAATTATTTAATCTAAACAATTGAATTAAACCCTCAAGGTGACCTCAAAAATGTTCTGTAATGTTGAGATCTAGCTTCTTAGTAAGCCATTCCAAAACATCAATAATGTTACTTTCAGAACAGACATGAGTTATATGTGCTTTGTAGCAGGGAACATTATCTTCCTGAAATGACATATTGGCCCACTAATCAATCAACACTGCAACAACCTCTAGTTCATGGTCATTTTTAATTTAAGATTTCTTGACATTTAACATTTATTGCAGGTAAATAATTTGCAGTTATATTTCACACCAAATGCACAGAATTAAGACCAGCAAAATTCCTTAAAGTTAGTACAGTACAACTTAGCTAACAATTTGTAACCAGTCATCAAGAATCCAATACTGATAGGTTTTATACCTAGCAAACTAATATTGAGAATTCCTGATGGTGATTTAAGATTTCTGTATCTCAGTCATTCCAAAGTATCCCCATTATGGTGAGCTAGGTGTGAAGACCTCATAAGTTAGTGCCTATTCACATGTGACCATATTGGATATAGTGAAATTACTGTGAATTCATTACAAAGTTGATATCTAACACTTTTGTTAACACCAACATTGTTTAGATATTAAACTATCAATTTCTGATACTTCTTAATGGTCTAATGAATCATCTATGTTACATATTCTATAGCAACACATAGCTTTACAATGTTTTGTCATCTTGTACATGCTTCCATACAACTGGTTTCCTATGCAGTGTGTATCTGTATTTATAGTCACTAAATTGATATCACAGTGAGCCATAGTTGAGCACTGTATATAGGTTATAACTAAACATTAATTTGCTTATATTTACAATTTCTACAATAAAAACAAAACGTTTTATTACAATCAATTACAAAATACGTGATGCATAACATACATTTATAAATGTAATTATTTTTTATATTTTTCCATTTGTATCTTTACCTCTACTAATTTTTAGTTATTCCCTTCATGATTATAATTTTTACATTATGTTAAAAATTAACAGGCAAAAAAAAATATAGTTGTCAATGGTTGAGACGACCCCTCCCAATAATGACTTCCCTTTAGCTACATCTTTTTTCTGTGCACAGAATGATTTACATTGATCTGACCTCCCACAAACGACTTCCTGATACGGCATACAACCATGAATTTTGAGTGGAAGGTCAGATCATGACCTCTCTATAGTGAATTTTCTTCATTTCAATAAAAATGTATAAACATGTTGTGTTTGTTGTGTGTTCATTTATTTGATTTTACATGTACATGTATGTACAATAACTTTAATTTGTAATGATTCAACTGTAGTTTGTTAATGCAACACATGAGTAATTATATGCCACACCACACACTGAAAATGAATATGAAGGCTGTGAAATTTTCACATTTTATGTAATATTCTTCAAAATATTAATATGTCTACCTCGATTATTCAATGCGATCAGAAAAAAATTAATAATTTCAACAGCAATTAATGCTTCATTACCCCAGTTGACACATGAATGTTTTGATGAGTAGTGCACAACTTGCCATAATAATGAGACCATAATACAAGCTGGGAAAACCCTTACCAGTCACAATGAGTGTTTACTCAAGATGTCAGATGATGCATGACAAAGGTAAGTAATTCTCCCGGTGAGTAGTTAATCTGTGACTTGCTGTATAAATATGACACATACCGAAGAATAAATCATTTACATTTTTGTACAAAGACCGATTCTGTTTCACAATGCCTCAAGAAAAGTGAAAATGTAAATACCTCACTCTCTAAGAAAAGGTTGAAGTCATCCAAAAACATGAAAAGGATGCCAAATGTGTTCATACTGCTGTTGAAATGCAGGTTGGCAAAATGCAAATTCAAACAATTGTTACCAATAAATTTAAAATCATGGAGTTATGGAAAAGTCATTCTAATTTGAACATAAAATTCACCATGTATGAAATAAAAATGTGATACATGTATGTTTTATGAAATAGAGATGTGATGTTTTATGAAATAAATGTGATCAATGAATAAATTATTTTACATAAAACACAAACAAATCAATTTTAAGTTATCTTTATTGAACTGTTATCCATCATAACTATTATTATACCAATTTGCTACATCATCTGATTACCTATACAGTATATAAACCATTATGCTCAAGCCTTGGCAATAGTGACTGGCACAGCTTGAACTCAGTATTCATTATCTGGTTATTGAACCTTTGAATAAAGAATTCCTGTCAGATACAACTTTTTATTATGGCAGATAGGTTGGTCGTATCTAAGAGGGACTGCCGTAGTTTCAAGTTTCATTCCAGGTGGATGGAAATTTTTTAGTCTACTCCACAACTCACTGTTATATTAGCTATTTTTATACATATGTGAATGCTACAAACTAAATTGAAGATTCAATTTTTTAAATATTTCTCTAAGATTTGAAGAATTATAATTTCAGTACATTTTACCTTAGCTGTATACATAAAAAGAATGAATAAGAAATACAAAATATTTAGTAATAGTAACCTGAAGTTACATAAGACATTTTAAAGTTAGTTTTAAATAAACCTAACTGAAACTTTCCAACAAAAAATAATCAATTACTTGGTACTTGGATTAAATCTCAAAATAAGCAGTCATTCTCTGTAATTGATAACTCACTAAATATTTTATTACTTTTAAATTGCACTACAGAAAACTTGGAAGCTGTCAGATAACAGATTATATATCCCAGTAAATAAACCTACCTCATTATTCTGATCCATGTTCCTTTAAAAGCTGGATCAAAAGGTAAGAGTCTCTCACTTAAGAGCTGTCGAGTAGAATTGTACTGAAGTAACAAGGTATTTTCTTTCCATCTATAATAAATATATATATTCCTGTGTCATTCAAACATCATGTTTCTTCATTTTAGTCCTCAAAATTAGCATATATCATAAACCTAATTAAATTTGAAAATCTCACCACAATGAAAAAAACTTGTATCAACCAACTAAAATGGTAATTACCACACTAAATGATGGTCATTTCTACCAACCTATTTCCTAAACATAGAAACATTATTAAAGTATTATAAGAAATACAGTCTCTTAAAATTACAGTAAAATACTAGTTACTTTGTCCGGACCAATAGGAGCAACCAGTGTATTTTTAGAGTTGTATTGTAAACAGTTTTTTTTTAAACAAAAGACTAAAAACATCTACTGGATACAATGCTGTATACAGTTTATAAATGTGTCACTTTACTTTAGTTCATATTTGCACAGAAACTCCTGCTTATACTTTTGAAGCATTTAAATCATATTAGATCTGGTGCATCATCATTTAGGTTGGTATTTGAGTATTTGTTGTTGAATACCATGTTATTGAGGAAGTTTGTGTTTTGCTACTATGACTAGACAAGTGTTACATACTACAACTATTATTCTAAAAGGCTTATACTTCCTTGGTACTGTTTCTGTGTCATGCCCTCCTAAAGTGAGGTCATATTCATTTTATGGGATAGCACAGAGACTTGTATATGTTGATACAAATTGGAGGTTTATTTCCTTTTATTTATATATATATATATATTATGTTTGTTTTTATAATTTTGCATAAAGCTATACATGCAATATTTGAGCACAACTCTCACAAATATTTAACTGCCCAGCTTCAAGGAAGACAGCTAGTTTACAGCACCCACCTCCAACTCTTAGGCTACTATTATCTGGCTGAAAAATGAGGATTATAATTATACATTTCATAAGACATTAGTATTAGGTCTCTTACATTTTTAAACACTACATTCTGTATTTAGTCCCTTAGAGACTTTCAAGAATTAAAAGAATGATTAGATAATAGTATTCCAACCACACTATAGTTGTAATATATTTTGCCAAAAACACATTTGCTCACTCCAGAGCCATTCAGGCTGGCTGGGACACAATAAACAGAACAGTGATCAGAGCACTATTTATATAAGCCATTTGATATAGAAACAATTGTTATGGTGTGTATGCCTTTTACAAGCTGGCAAAGAATGATTACAATTATACTTGTCATACTTATACTTGGTGACAATGCATTTTGCTCAATCCAGAGGTCTTTAGGCCATCATTAGCAATGGATATGACAAATATAGTGCGGTTGGAATACTATCATTATACACCCTTCTAATTCTTGAAATTCGCTAAGGGACTAAGTAAAGAATGTAGTTATTAAAAATATAATAGACCTAATACTAATATCTTATGACAAGTATAATTGTAATCATTCTTTGCCAGCTTGTAAAAGGCATACACCACAACAAGTGAGGACTGTAGCATATCCATGGTCCAAAGTGCAGAATAAATTTTTACGACAACGGGAAATGAACCACAAACTATCAGATTAACAGGCCAGGTATACTAACCACTAGGCTACAACTGATCAAATATGTATAATAGGAATGATCACTGAGCTAGTTATAAATCTAAGGATTGTGGAATAATGCACTAAGTCTCTGGATAAACTTAAAACTTTGAAATCATCATTCTTCTGAACTATGTATTTGTCTTGTGTACATGTGCTTTTCTCCAGGTTCAGAAGCTAAAGAGTTCAACACCTAAAATAGATGTTGCCTAATATAAGTGAATAACATTTATAATACTTCATTTGATTTGTGTATGAATAAAAATTATTGTTTTTATTCTATCACTTGTTTTATGTGTTTGTTTTTTTTGCTGTCCATGTATATCTAATCTCTTCCTAGCCTGCTGAATTACAGATACTTGATTTCTGTTGGATATCAGGATATCTGAATACATATACTACATTACATAATGAAAAGCTACTTACTATGAACTTAGATACTGCTTTCCAGATCTTGCAAAATATTAAAAATCCTCAACTGAAACTTGGAGTTACTTATCTGTGAAAAGTGTTTTTCAAGCTTACCAGATTAAAAGTGGACCTACTTCAGTTTACAAATAATACAGATTTAACTTTCTCTATTATTTATACAATGAAAGAAGTAGATGTTTGAAGTAAAAACTATAATACACATAATTCCAAAGCACAACTAAAATATCATATGTCATTTTTACAAACTGAAATTCCCATAAGTGTATCATCAATAAATTTACACTGTTTTCTGGAAACAAGATGCTTGGTTCAGTAATATGATGAAAGTGGGCAAATGAAACTAACTTTTCTTAACCTGTTACCACCCCAAAAAATATCATGCTTTGTACTTTGGGTACTTTATAAGAGAAATAGTTAAATCCAAGTATTTGGTTTGACAAGAGCATTACAAGAGTTGGTAGATGGTGTTGACACTTTAAAATTAGGGACTCTAGTGTAGTTAGCCCTCATGTAGCTTTGCACAATATTAAACAAATAAACAAAAATAAGATAAATGATAAAGCTAGATAACCTACCGGAAGAAAGCCTTTCTGAGCAAGAAGTTTTTAAATGATGGCAAAACAGATAATCTTTCAAACAGTTTGGCTTCTCGTGACCAATCTTCTAAGGAAATGCTTTCTGAAGATCCATCACTTTGAACATGTAATACTGCAGACTTTGAGAAAATGTAGTGGTCTTTTGTAACCTACATATTAATAAAAAAGAACCAAACAAGTAATGAAGAAGATAAATGTAAATATTTCAACTTATCAATTATATAGTCAATATGCAATATATAAAAATCTGATAAAATTATTTTCACCATTTTTTTTTCATTATGATCTTGATCCCAACTAGTTTGGGGTCAGTTGATAAGTTTGTAAGCAAAGAATTTTTACACTTGGGTAACCGGCTCAGTCAGCAACCATGTAGGATGAGCATGTTCGGTGACAGAGATTTGAACTCACAACCCTCAGATTGCAAGTTGAGTGCCCAAACCACCAGGCCATGCCATTAGTATACTCAAATACCATCTATGAAATTTCATTAGTACTATTGTAGTTAAATATATATACATGAGAAAAGAACAAAGAGATTATTTGTAAACTTATAAATAATTTCTTTTATGGTGTCTCACAGAACTCTCAATCCTGTTGTGGATACACCAGCAGTAGGATTACTAGAGCATGCTCCAGGGACTGGAATGCTTTCTTATATTCCTCACTCCACCTGAATTGTGTGTCACAACTTTAAATTCCATCTGTTCCCAAAATATAATCAAGAAATTCCACTTTCATGCACATTTTCTTGGTGTCAGTTTGAAACTACCTTTTATTTGCTGAAATATCATTTTAAAGTTCTCATCTGCAGACTCAGATAAAACCAAAGACCAAGACACTTTGAACATGGACCAAGTACTGCACCCATTGCAGCCCTTTTAGTATAAGATGCAATAGCCTTTCCAGAGTTGCAGGCACATTATAAAGTCCAAATGGTGTGACACAAAACTCATACACACCATCTCTTGTGCTAAAATCATTCTTCGATCTGCTATCATCACCCAGCTAGTTTTGCCAGTAACTAGATACCAGGTATAAAGTATTGAGCCATAAAACTCCTTCCAATGCATCCAGACATTTATTTGTTTGTAGTAATGGAAAAGCATTAATGCAAATAACCTATCTAAAATTAATGCAAAACCTGGGCATACCTTCCTTCTTTATGACAATCATTACTGAAAATGAAGGCAGTATTATCCTGTCCTTTAACATCCACTATGTCTCACCACTAGCTACATTCCTAGTGCTTTAGGGAAAATGGATGTAACCCTAATGTTATCATTAGTCTTGGTTACTTCCACTGTACATACATTTCAATGACCATTCCAGCTGGAAGCTGGATAACCAATCATCTATAACTGCAAAACAGCATGTACTTCATCCTTTTTCCTCAGACAAATAATTGTCTAAGTTAATGCTGATTGTTTTCTGATAAGGAAGCAGTACATTTTATATGTTAGATCTTTTAAGTGTGTTTCAAGGTACTGATGCATTATACTTTATCAATAGTAAACCACAGAACACAATTTCATGTTAGCCCACTTTTCATAACTATGACATCATTCCATCTTATCTCACACTTTACTTAACCTAGTTATTTCCAGTTTGCCCATGGTAAAGAAAGATCAACCTTTCAAAAGCAATCAGGTCACAGAGTTTCTTACTTTTGTCTTTCATTTATTTTTAAAAGTTAACATTTTCCTTACCTGAAAATGTACCTCTGATAGATATTCCTCTCTTCACACTGAAAGCTATCTTCCCTGTGCACATGCCACTAGTCTTTAGGCAACTCCCACCTAAACTCACAAGATTTCTCATGATTTGCACTACTACATAATGGTGTTATTATGCATTAAAAGCCCTCCACCAATAGAAGGGTGACACAACCTCCCTTTGCACTAACTCATCTATACTTTTGCACTCATCAACTTCATTCCTTAAGGAGGCAAGGAATACTAAGTTGCATTAGAAGTTGGGAGGAAGGGTGGGAAGTGTGTGAGAAGGTGAACATTTATCAGAACTACTTTTCAGGTAAGGAAAATGTAAATTTCCAAGATGATACACACTTCCTCTTCACACAGAAAGCTAGAATCCCACATTGGTATGATGGAGGGACTGATACAAAATTTACCTAGATGAGCTTCCTTCAGAAAGTGCCTGAAGGAAACCCATGAAGAGTGACTTCTGATGTCAAAGGCTCTATAGGGGCACATTAGAGGAAGATCACATCTCATCTCCTCCCAAGTACACTCTTTGCCCAGATTAGAAGAGAAGAAGAAGCAAATAAGCCCTATGCATCTTGGGTATGGGTGGAATTAGAACATGGTAATCAGAGTATCTGCACTCAAGAAATCGAGGTGCAAATATGTGTAGCATGGTTGGTGTGCATTCAGACATTCACAATAATTCTGACAGTAGAGTTGAGGTGTGCCATAGAGTGTGTAATGGTGGTTTGTGCTCACCTCAACTCTACCATCAGATGCTTGAGCTGACATTAGCTGTGGTAGGAGGGCACAGAAATTCATATCATGAATTGTGTAATATGAAGCATGCATCGTCTCAGTTGGACAGCATCAGCAGTAGGAGGAGGGTATGTGCATATAGTGTGCTCATCTCAACTCTACTGAACAGACACTAATTGGCACCCCTTGTTCTAGCCCCAGCAGTTAGGTCATTCAGTGAGGGTTCTCCATGGTCCACCACCCCAGCAGTTAGAAACTGGTAAGTGGTAAGGGACTTCCTTGCTCTACTCCAAGAAAAGGGGGAGCAATTCACAGTGGGAGACCCTGAAAAAATGCCTAGATCAGATGGGAAAGTCTAGTTCCACAGGTGATAGCCCAGACTAAACCAAACATGAAGATGGAAGGACAAAATCCCATGATGGAAAGGCGACGGGCGATGTTGAAGCAATAGTGTGTATAATTGGCAGAGGAAGAGAGGTTGTGTTGTTAGTGGCATAGAAAAGAGGTACCAACAAGAGGAAACAACTATGAGTGTCTCTAGTCAAGGCCAGGACTGGAGATAAAGGCCAGAAAGGTGGGTGAACATTATAACAAGTATCAGACCATATCAGGCAGAAGGTAGCAACAGCCAGAGACAAAGGATGAAGAACAGATGATCTGAAGAGAGGAAGCATGAAAGTGAGAGAGTTGGCTAGGCAATAATGAGTGAAGTCCCAAAGCAAGCACCCCCAATGGAAACTGGAGGAGAAGAGACCATCTGAAGGCAGAACACAGTCTGGCCAAGACAGGCAATCCACAATCTGGCTCATAGTACCAGGTACATAACAGGTGAGGAAACCAATCTGTTAAGAATTGGCCCAATAAGGAATATTCATGGTTTTAAAGCAAGGGTTTTGGATCAGATTCCTCTATGACAGTTAATTCAGGAGAGATCAAGGAGTTGTTGGAATGGAACAAAACGAAATGATCCAGTTGGAGTGTTAATAATGATATCATACCTGACAGCCTACTGGAAGTTCAAACATGTGGATATAGAGAGAGGACTCATCCTGGGTCCATGTGCCTGATGTAAATTTGTCATTCAAGGATGCTCTCCAGCAAGAAGGAAAAGTATACGTGAAGAAGTATAGGTCTGGTTTAGATGGAGGTAATGAACACAGATGGTGATATTGGATTGGTCTAGTGACCTATATAAATACTAGAATAAAGGAAAGGACAGGAGAGCCACTGAGGTCAAAGAATCCCATAAGGCATCTTCTGATCATGCAAGGACCAATGGAGGAAATGCATATCTGTGTGAAACCCAAAGGAATAAGCATTCCCTATGAAGCCATTGTCATCAAACACTAAACCTCACATGCAGAATGGTTAGGATAGGTGTGAATCCTAGTGACTGCAAGCTCCATAGCTCACAAGCAGATGGCAGAAGGCAGATCTCAGCTGAGAATATGTTAAAAACAACCCCCTCATGAATAACATATTGAGAGAGAGTGAGGAACTGTTGGGAATGGTAAGTAAGACAGCCTCAAAGAGAAGTTGGATGTAAATGGGAGTGGAATGAGAAAATGAAACAAGATGAGAACTTACAGGAGGAGAGGAAATCTATGGGTAAAAAGTATGTTGGATATACAAGACTGTTTAGTATGATAGTTATTATTTAGTTTGATCTTGTGATTTAACATTTAATGATTATTTAGTTTTCATAATAACAGTGTTAAAAGTAATTATTTTAAAGGCAATAGTTATGACAAATATTTTCATTATGTAACTTGGAAAGAGTCATATGTTGTGTGTGTAGTTCAATTGTTGTTGCATTGTCGACATCATCTTTCTCAAAACCTCTAAGTTTTTCTCACTATGTGAGTATTGTAGAAAGTTCAAGGCCTCGGTTGGGCAAGGTATATATATTTATATATATATATATATATAGGTGACCAAGTGAGTGCAAGAAAAAGTTAGTTAGTTAAAGAAAACATGAAGTTAACCAGCCTGTGAGTGATCAGCCTTAATGGTCAATTTCTATTGTGCATTTCACAGCTGTATTGTAACAACGGAAATAGAAAAAATAATTTGTCTTGTCAACTAGGTTCTAAAGTAACTGAACCAGCCTATGTGGACTTTTGACAAAAAAAAAGAGACACTTGTTTAAAGATCTGGATACAACTGTGGTAACCAAGTTAAGTGAAGTAAGTAAGTAAAGTTCAGTCAGAGTGAAGTTAGGTCAGAAAATATGAAGTTAGCCAGTGTGTGAGTGATTAGCCTTAACAGGTGATATCTTAAAATGAGTTTCACAGTTTAACAGAGATAAGGAGAATAATTTGTCTTGTCAAAGGGGTGTTCTAAAGTAATTGAACCTGACTGTGTGGACTTTGACAAAAAAAGATAATTATTTAAAGTTCAAGATACAACAGTGGTAATCCACAGGGTAACGTAAGTGAATTATTCACTGCTATTGTGATAAGAATAGAGAAAAATAATTTGTCTTGTCGATTGGATTCTAAAGTAATTGAATCAGCCTGTGTGGACTTTTGACAAGAAAAGATAATTATTTAGAGTGGTAGATAAAACTGACTTGTTGGCAATAAATTTGAGCAATAAATGGACAGCCCACAATCCACTTATTTTAAAATAATATATTCAAAACAAGTCAAACGTAGGTACAAAAATTCTTTACACTATACAGATACCTACTGTAAAAGAATCCCAGCCCACATATATAAAACCCTGACAAAGTATAAAAACCCTTGTGTGAATAGAAAAGTATGGCTACAGAAGCTCAAACCATGACAGCCAGGCATCCATGGGACCTAACATGACAGAAACATCACCAACAAGCTCAACAAGTCTGATACCGGATAGAAAAGGAAGTTGTAAATCAAAAGAGAGGGACTAAGGTGAGGTACAATGGTAAAGGGTAGGGTTGGGGACAGTGTGGAAACAAAGTATGAATGCAAGGTTTGATGATAGGCAACCTCAGCCCTTGATTCAATCAAATCAGGAATACCTCCAAACTCCAGCCCAGGGCAAAGAAAGAGGCTAGGTAAAGGGCTAATAGAAAGGAAGGAAGAAGTCCAAGTCAGGATAGAAGAGTATCCCTACCCAACAATCCCCAGTAACAAAGAGGCAAGTGAGTAATGAATGGTAGATGCAGAACAGCCACACTGGAGAAGTGAAGGAAAATCACCTGAAAAGGTTTCTAGGGTGTGGTGGAACCCCTCAGACTAAAGGTGTAGAGAGGAGAGGTAAAAAACAGTGTGAATCAGGCAAAGACAGGAGTATTGGGTACTGGAGAGCAAAATCAATGGCAATAGTCCACTCCCCCTCCAATAAGCAAGGGCAATCCTAAATGTAAGAATTATGAAAGAGGATGCAAAAAAACTAAAATCAAGTACATAAGAGTCAGATATATGGGTGGGGTGAGACTTGACGTCACAGAAATGTAAGTGATCCAGGAATGGTAAACAAAATTAGTTAGGGTTAGGATTAAAAATTAGGGAACAAGAAGAAATAAATGATACAGAGGAAAGAAAAAGAATGGTGCTTACCTGACAAATCAAGGCCAAAGAATGTGATAAATTTTAAGTTTCTCTTCAACAGAAAAAGTATTTGCCAAAGCCTAACCTGGTGAAAGAACAATCAAATTCATCTTCCTCATTAATCTCACAAACGGGTGAAGGAATGCTTGAAAAAGGGAATGGAGCTGAATGTCCTGGTAGCATAAAAGAACCCACTATCCTATTCACAATGGCTGCCATATCCTTCTCAGGGAATGTACCTCCATAAGCCATAGTTTTTACACAACCTGGGTGATGAAATTAGTCACTCACATAAGTAGAAGAAGATTTTACATGAACTTCAGAATTTGATGAAAAAGATGGAAATTAAGTTTCCTAAACATCACAAATCTTGTTAAATTGACCAAGAAAAACACATCTGATGTATTCAGTGCTGAGGAATAGAATGAAGATCAAGAGTGAGAAAGCATATATGGAGGTTGTGTGTGCCCTCCTATTAGTGGAGGGCTTTTACTGCATAATGTCATTATGCAGTCACGCAAATCATGAGAAATCTCATGAGCTTAGGTGAGATTTGCCTAGTGGCATGCAAATCTAAAAGACAAACACACTGGGAAGATGATGAGATGTGTATCATTTCTGAACCTACACGTTTTCTTAATATAATATAACTAAAGATATTGTAATAAGTTGGGTATAGTGGTAAAAAGAAAAAAATCACATAAGTGCTACACTATGTGGGGGAAAATAGAAAAAATGGAAGTATTAAAATTTTGTATAACACCTAGACAAAATAATGCTTACTTTACTTTTTGGCACAACAGCTAAATCATATGGATTATACTGTTTCTTTGGTGATGGAACAAGGTAGAAAAACTGTATTTTGCTCTCTGCTTCTGTTTGTGAATTGAAATACACTACAACTTCTTGGCCAGTTTTTGGAAGAGTGGGCACCTATAACAACATGGTTAAATCTTTAATTTTAATAGATATAATAAGAAAAACACTAAACAAGCATTTCTTCCTACAAAAATATCTTTTAAGGTGAAATTAATATTTTCAAAACCACATGATTTAAAACAGATACATGGAATTGAATAAATTCAGTACTTTCTACTTTAACTGATAAAACTTGTATATTTTTGTGATTAAAAATAAATTTTAAACAGGTACTTACTTCTGAAATACTGTAAGCCTTTCCTTGTTGAATTTGAATTAACACTGATAATAAAATATGTGACTCAAACATCTGAATAGCATGCATCACTTACCCCTAATTCTCCACTCTCCTAACCTCCACATGACTTATTGTGCAAGCATCCGAAGATCTTACATAAGCTGTGCTTTCTGCCATAATTTAGATTTTAATGAAAGTTGTGGCCATGTTAAAAATTTGGTTGTGGAAAGGTGGAAAAGAAGATATTTCATAGGCACGTACCTGTTTGAAATTCATTTTAATTCTAAAAATGTAAAATTCACATCAGGTAGACAGACCTCTGAAATATTGAAAGCCAGAATATCCATACTTTAAAGGTGGTAGAGTTGATAAACGTGTACAGAAACAGAAAAATATAAAACTACAGGACAAAAAGATAATAATCCAAGAAATATGTAGCAAAGCAAAGTCAGGGTAAAATCAAGAACCATAAATTAATTTGCAGAAAACTGGGTTTGAAGGAGAATGAGTGGAACAGACCAGCCTTACAAAATAAAACACTGGATCTAAAGGACATTCTAAAAGAAGGCATTCTTCTCAGCAGGGTACCTCTCTACCTATGAAAACCTTTAATTCAGGCAAATGGGGTCGGTTTTCTGAGTGATAGTGGTGTATTGAACTGTTGGAGCCAACAATGTGACACAAGAAGGAGGAATATTATGTTTTGCCCCTGTAGAAATTGTTTGCTTGTTTGTTATGGATTGTACGCAAAGCTACACAAGGGCTATCTTCGAACCCGCAACCCACAGATTGTGAGTCGAGCACCCTAACCAACTGGCCATCCCGGGCCTCCTGTCAAAGAAGGTTTTCAAAGTAGTGAACCATGAAGGACATAGTTTTGTAATAAATTAATATGAAGGACATACTCCAGAGGCAGTAGCACTTATTCATCCAAATCAAAAATGTCCAGTGAGTCCCATGATTGGTCAAATGACTGTGCCCTCATGGAAAACCATAGAAAGAAGAAAGATCCAAGAAGTATCTAGCGATGGGCTCAGCAATGTGAGGACAGTACAATGGGATATCAAAACATAGATGATCACCATCCTGGTTGGAGTTGCAACTTCTAATGGTGGTCCTGTTTCCAATATCTGTAATGCCATGCAAGGCAGGAAAGATCTTATTGCTATATAAAGACAACAACAAACTTAACCTGCAGTGGAAAGGACCTTTTGAAGTGCAGGAAGTGATCAACTGAATGGACTATAAGGTGAAAGTGGATGGGAAGACAAATATCTATCATGCCAACCTGTTGAAGAGGTACTTTGAGAGGAGAGAAGACCTAACTGGAGCTGCTACTAAGGCGCTGATGGACATGGCAGGTGTAGTTGTCATAGACACAGAACCAAAAGACAGTGGCTTTGCCATAGAAGACCTATTAGATCTAAGACCACTGGGTGGAGATGAGACATCCAAAGACGTCAACATCAGTGAAGAACGGACTGGCAAGCAGAAGAAAGAGCTACAAGATCTACTATGTCAGTATGCAGATATCTTCACAGATGGACCAGGCAAGACAGACCTTGTGTAACACAAGATCGAGACCACGACCAGGGATCTAGTAAAAGTGAAGCCCTACCAGATGCCTTATGAGATGAGAGACCTAATCAAGCAAGAAGTTGAAACAATGTCAGAAGCTGAAATCACTGAGCCTTTAATTCAGCCTTCTGTGCACCAGTGGTAATCGTGAAGAAGAGGGATAGCTCGAATTGATTCTGAATAAATTTCCAGAAGCTGAACCTCATTACGAAGTTCGACTCCAAACCTATGGGTATGGGTAACCAAGAGGCTATTATGGTGAAACTAAACTGTTGGTGCAGATTGTATGAGCAAACTTTGTGGATGAACTGAGAACAGTCTTGTATATAATATAAAAAATATTGAAATATTTTTCTTGAAGAGGGCTTATTGTTAGATATACATGACTTTTCACTTTAAGTTTAATACGAGAATATTATTTAGTTTATATAGTACAAACATAAAAGAACATTATTTTTAGAAGCAATAGTAATGGCAAGTTTGTTGTGAATTGACATCATGTTATTCAAGCCTTCTGAATTTTTTTTGTTATTTTAAGTAAGTATTGTTACATCATAATGTCTCATAGTTTGTAGAAAGTTCTAGGCCTCAGTCACACAATATATGTATATATAGGCAACAAAGTTAATACAAGTAAGTCAGTGAAAGTAAGACAACATTAGTGAGAGATATAGTCAAATAGATCTAGAGTGTGTTTGTAAGTTCAGCCACAAAGAGTGTATAGTGGTGACTTTTAAAGTGTAATAATCATAGATTATATTGTAATAACAAAGTAGAGAAAAATAATTTAGCTTGTTAATTGGGTTCTAAAGTAACTGAACCATCCTGAAGATACTTTTGAAGGAAAAGAGAATTATTTAAAGCTCTGCATTCAACTGTGGTGATTATTGGTGTAACAAACACTTGTGTGTATGTTTGACTTGTTTAGTATGTATTATTTTCAAATGAGAGAATTGTGTGTTGTTTTTATATTGTTGAAAGTTATTGCCAACAAGTCACAAACATCTTCTGCAAAGAATCTTGGCCCTATGAAACCTGACACCTGCTGAGGCATCATCAGTCACCAAATGACACCCTCCATCCACTTCCAAAGAACAAGATCCTCTTATTGAACTCCAGCATAGAGGGTGAAATTTTGTCTAGGACAAATGCAGAGGTTTATGTGACATGCAAGAATCCTGACTGGATTAATCCATAACTGAAGTCTCACAGAAGAAGTGATTATGATTTTTAAATTTTTTCATAATAAGATAAATTCTCAATCTCAGAAAACCATAGATTTGTGAAAATAGGCATTAGATTAATACAGAGATACTTGGGTTGCCTATGATAAATGGAAAAATTAAAGAAAATGCATTAGTCTTGACTAGACAAATCGATATAAGTACAGATTCTTGATACATAAGACTGCAATTAACTATTTTATCTTTCTCGTTTTGTAGTACCTGTTTTAAAGTTAAAATTATTTACAATCCCAAAAATCCTTGAAAAGGTTAACTATGGATGATGAAAAGAATATATAATAACTTTCAAGTCTTGGACTCCATCATGAGTCAGGTGGCAAATGGAATCCAGAAACTGAAGACACAGCAATGAGATGAAGGTATTGCAACAAAACAAATATTCAGATTCATCCCCATATAGGCCTGTAAAGGGTTCAGAGACCAGAAGGCCAAAGGCATGACCAAATGGCAAATGTGATGAAATGTAACATGAAATTCATGCTTAAGATGGTTGAGATCATTCTGATTTAAAAAGACAGATCAGAAGTACAAGCTTATTCATTAATGCAGATGGTTTAGGATCCATGGAAGGGGCCGGCATGGCCAGGTGGTTAGGGCACTCGACTCGAAATCTGAGGGTCGCGGGTTCAAATCCCCTTCACACCAAACATGCTCGCCCTTTCAGCCATGGAAGGAAAATCATCATAAGGGAGAAAGAATCAATGTTGATTCCCTCAAAAATATTCCATTCTTGCAATATACGAGCAAACAGCCTTGACCAAAAACAGAAAACATTTTTCAGAAGGAGGATCAGGGGTAGCAAAAGAAGGTAACACAATAGAAAAAAAAACAACAGTGATGATCATTTCTCACAGGCCAAGTCTTTGGTAGGAAGGCTTTACCAGGATATAATTACAGAGCCTTCCTGGAAAAAAAGAAAAGAGTATGTGTAGTGTCAACTGCAAAAATGTCTAATCGTTTTCTCCTAGAAATAAATAACAAAAAAATCAATTATTTAAGTCTTCAAGGAAAAATGGTAGAGTGAACAAGTTGAAATTGGTTCAAATGGAGAAGTCATGCAACTTAACACCAGACTGAAATCCCACTGAGAACAATGTCTACATACTCATAGAAGATATAATCAAAAAGCCTGAAAAAGAACCAGAAAAAATGGGGTTGACAGAAACACATGATGCCCATGGCAACTGGAAGTGGCTGAGAGTGTAGCTCTTTAGCCTGCAAAAGAAGTAGACAAATATCAATCATGAAAGAGGTACATAAGACAATATGAGGCAAGAGGCTAGTTATTGAGAAGGTGGAAAAAGAAAAGAAACCAAATTTCACAGCCACCAAATCCTAGGTTCAGTAATGAAAATATAACATACTTGAGAGAAATAAAAAAGACCAGCAGATGTGTAATCAGGATTAGAGTATGTTGAAATGACATACATCATAAAATAAAGAGCTTCTTCAATACACTTTTTCATTAATTTGTCTTGATATAATAATTAAAGTTTCAAAATAAAAAAAAACTCCAAAATTCTAAGAGATTAATTAATAGCAGCAATGTGAGTGCATGATCTCATTTGACTGACTGATAAATGAAATTTTAATAAAACAAAGTTCTGGTTGGTAGCAAGTTATGACAATCCATATGGTTTAGATGAGCATTAACTCATTAGGTAAACAGCTAGTTCAAATACATTCCTTCTGATTCATGGATTAAAAGATAGTAAGGAAAAGGAAATGAACCACTTAAAGTTAGTGCCAGAGAAATAATCTTACTTAACAAGCCCACATGCAGAATGTTTGAAATGAGGGGTCTAATTTGTGAGATCAAAAGCCAACACATATTGTTTTTAGGAGGTCTGGTGGGCATGCAATTATTGTAATGCTTCATCAGAAGAATGTAGACAATGTAGGAAATGTTAAATACCATAAGCGGCTACGCTATAACTATATAAGCATAACTGTTTTACATCACAAAAATAGGGGGTTCAGCTGAATCCCCTCAAACCCCCCTGCATACATGCTTGCTTAGTCATGTGATATTTAGGTTAATAATGAACAGGAGCCATCACAACAACTTGACAATAAAACTATTTAAAATTCTAATGCATTATGGTTTTGAAAAAGCTTGTATTGTACTTTTGGCCCTTGCTTAGTTATGAAACTAATTTTGATTAAGTGCATGGTAAATGCTGGATTTTTTAAAATTTTCTTTACATTGTGGCTTTTGGAAATGATTTGAGAGAAGCAGTTGCATAAATTTAAATATATAGCTTTTTATATTATTTTGTTAAAACAAACTTCTTAAAACCTACAAGCTTTGATGAATTAGCTCCTCAAAACTTTCTAGCCCTCTGCAGCCTATAAACTTTTCTCAAGAGTCTTAAATATTCCTGTCAATCCTGTGAAATGTTTTAGTAAGACTATTTTTGATTACTTATGCAAGACATTAAATAAAAATTACATATGACAGTATTACAAAAATTTTGGTTAGCATATTGATTTTATAATAAAAACTAATTTTATTATTCTAATAACTCCTATTATTCTACCTGATTTAGGTGTGAAGTCATAGATGCAAATTAAGCTTAACTTTCTAATTCACATCATAATAAGAGCAATAAGCATAAAATTGATGAGATTGATTCTCAACAAAAGAGATAATTAATGAAATATTTCTTTGTCTAAATAGCCCTGTATATCAATACATTTATAACATTTTAATTATTCATATATATATTCTCTAGCAAATTCATATACAAACTATGGTAAAAAAAAGAATATATGTTTGTAGATAAAAAAGAAATGGTATTTCATGCGAATAACATATATTATTGCTCAGGATACATGGCCTCATAATTCCCCCAATTTGAAAAGCATGCATGACACTGCTTTTGTAAAATGTATATTAGTCACCTCTCACTGAAAAAAACTTTTCCTTATAAATTGCATATCATTATGTTTTCAAGATACTTCTAATAATAATATAATATAATATAATAATTTATTTGTAAGCAATGTAATTCCTTACTTGTGCAGCACATTGTGAATTGCATTTTTTTTCCATAGTTGAATGCTCTAAAAATGTTTCTTTCAATTCTTGTGAATCAGATTGTGCTTTTCTTTCTCCTTCTGTAGCCGATTGTGCAAAAGATTGTTCTTTTGAATCTTGTGCAAAAGACTGAGTATGGCCTTTCCCTTCTCTAGCTGACTGTGCAAAAGATGGGTCTTTCAAATTTTGTGCAACAGATTGAGTTTGGCCCTTCACTTCTCTAGCCGAGTGTGCAAAGGATGGGTCTTTTAAATCTTGTGTAGCAGATTGTTTCTTGCATCTTCTTTCTATGACTGATTGTGTACCTAAAGATCCTTTTGAATCTTTTGCAACAGAATGAATTTGGGTTTTCTCTTTCAGAGCTGAATCTTCAAAAGGTAGTTTTGTAGTTGATTGAGCTGAGGTCAAAACAACCTCTTGAGTTGGCGTATGCTATAAAAAAAACACGCAGAAACAATGAATCAAGCTGACTATCAGTACAAATTAAATTTGTTGTATAATATAAATTTCCACAAACTTTTAGAATACATTGTTAAACATAACTAATGTTTATAAAACTGCTTGGGACTCCAAAACACAGTCAAATGGTTAAAACTATGTGCACTGGTAGAGGTCAAAGTGCACATTTCACAACCTTTCATAGAATGCCATTCAATATGGTATTATGTATTTGATGTCAGAATTATCAACTATTCCTTTTACCTATTTGCAGATTTAGCAATACTTTGTGGTAGAGGAGAGCAAATATCTGATACAGTATAAAGAGATAATTAAAAACTTTAGATATACATTTTGGAGGTTCTAGAGGTTATATAAATGCAATATGCAGGCTGTATAATGGACTAAAGTTTGTTTATTCTTCACATGAACATCACCTTGCACTCTGTCCGAGTCAGACTAGCATCATCCATTCATAAACTTATCTTGAGTATAAATATCTGTGTAACACATCTGATTTTTTGTGTACAAAAGACTTGTACATTTGACTAAAAGTTTGTCACATTTTTCATAGACACACACATAGTAAGTTCAGAATTATGGTAAACATTCCTTCTCCAATACAGTTAATGGGATGTTCTAGAACTTAAGTGATTTTTGTATACAATATTAGAGCACTAATGTTTTTTAGCATTTTGAAATAATGTTGACAACAGTTTTTCATAAAACATGCATTTCCCATAATATTTTTTTAAGGATTGAGAATTAATGCAGTTAGTTGTAGCTTTTGCTCTTTCATGCAATAAAGTTAATCAACTTATTCTATAAATGATTACTTTCATTTCATAAACATAAAAAAAATCTTAATCATAATAAATCTGTACATTGTATTAACTTATACTGTGGTTGGTCCCTTTAATATGAACTATCTAACCTATATAAAAGCCAGTGTGCGTCGCGTCACACTTAATTTCTCGAAATAGGAGGAGTCATAAAAGCCAAAATGCATTCATTCAGATAGAATAGTTTGATTAGTCTGCCCAATTTAATTTTGAAGACAAGGGTGCAAGGGGGCCATGAGGGGGGTGGGGTACTGTGAAACCTTATTAGTGTAGTGAGTGTTGGTATAATAAGTCTAAAAAACCTGAAAAACTAGATGATCCAAAGACCACCCTGTCAGGACAGGATAATCAATCCACAACCAGATTTATGTTCTCCTGACAATGACATGCCAGCAAAATGATATAATGACAGTAGGCCCAAAATACAGGAGACCCAATGTTCAAAAACAAAGGACACTTGGCCAGATGCCCCCATGCATAGTGATGTAGAACCTACCACAGAATTGTTGGAGTGAAACATCACTACCTTGTCCCAAAGAGCCAGTAGGAAGGAAAGTACTGTCCAACAAACAGCAAAAAGTGTAAAGAGAGTGAAAAGGAAAGTGGAGTCAAAAAGAGTTCCCCAAATCTCCCAAGTGTCAAAATATGCTTCCAAAATGGATAAAAAAGCATCCAAAAAAAGTGACAATCCAAATGAGAAAAAGGAAGAGGAATTCCATCAGCATAAGTGGTCCTATTCAACAGTCAATACAGACTGTGAATGAGGGAAAGTGTAAGAGGAGCATCCAAGGGATCACAAACAAGTCAATGCCTGGTGATTCAAAACCCCACAGAGGATGGTACAAGTTGGTGCAACCAAGATGAACTAGGGCTGCAAGAGAAGCCCATGTCCCCAAATGAGAGAGAACATCATATGCAATAACAAAAGAGAGAAAAATGAGAAGCCACCTAAAGGATGTACCAGAACTCTAAACTGAAGGGGAAGAGGTTGGTTTCAACAAAGAATTGAGATGAAAAACACACCAAGAAAACTAGAAATTTATCAGGCGTGATGAATGCAATCCCCACTGTGGTAAGCAATCCCACATAGGCAGCTTCTTGAAGAAGAAACTGAGTATGGAGAGCAGATATGGTTAGTTAAGAAGCTATAAGTATCCAGCTACCCCTGGAAAAGTATACATTAAGCTCAGAAAAGGAAGCAGAGGAGGACAAAGCTGAACAAAAACACCCTAAACTGATGATGGGGAATGTTTGGATGCTGGGGAAATGGGAAAATAGAGACATGTATCTGACAAATTGACCTACATCATCCACAAAACAAGAGTGAGAACCTCCAACTGAGAATAATCTCTTCATAGAAGGGACCCTGGAGAAGTAAGACCCAAGCCACCTCTGACTGATGCTGGAAAAAAAACAGGATCCCACTGAGAGTGAAATAAAGTGGATGGTGATAGAATAGGGTGGAAAAGTGGAAATGGAGTTATGGAGACTTGTTGAAACAACCTCAGTCTCCAAATAGTCAGGAAGACCCCCAACACCTCTTGATAGAAAAAGGTGCCATATTCAATGCATGTACTGAAGAGGAGGGTAAAAGAACCCTAAAGAAAACAGGATCCCAACCTAGGAGCACCCAACTTAAGAGCAGCCATGTCTGTACAGCAAAGGCTGAAGAGGAAATGCGTGCCATTGTAGCAAAAAGGAGATGATGATGACCAATAGACAAATAATGAAACTATAGAACCACCCCCAAACAAAAGGCAAAAGGAGGATGAAACACAGACAATAATGGATAATGTAATAAATGAATGGGAAGGTTCTGAGGTAGGGAAATGCAACCCAAATCATTAGGGTCCGAACCTCACACTGGGAGAAGAAAAAAAATCCAAAAGGTATGAAGAGAATTATGGGTATATGGAACGAGAAAAGCAAAAACATGATACGCCAACATACACGGGGGAAAAAACATACTGACCCCCAAATGCAGTGTACCCCAAAACAATGATCATGAACACCATAATCTGGGTAAGAAGGGAAACCAAAGAAGACCCAAAGAGGGCATGGGTAAAATCCAAGGAAACAGAAAACAAAGACAAAAAATAACATACCTCAGGAAACAATGGCTACAAAAGGCAAAGGAGACTCAGGCAATACCCGCCTAAAAGAAATGTGACAATAAAGCATATTCAGGAGGGTAAAAACAAACCACCCTAAGTCACATCCACCCATTCAGACACACTGGCATGACAGGCTACTAAACAGGCTATACAGAATGGTGCCAAAAATGGTACAATTCCCAATAGAACACAGCCATCATGCCCATGGCTGACAACTGTGTAATTGCCCCCACAAATGTAAAGGGGAAATCCATCATAGCAGCAATAGCAGTGGTAGTCATGACCACCTGAAACTGTGAGTGCATAACTCAAAAAGTTGAAAACAAAAAAATTTAGGAAAGGGAGAGTAGGTAATGAAATTTAACTCACGACTCTCTACTAAAAAAAGAAAAAATGAAAGTGACTAAATTAGAAAACCCTCGAAAGTAAAAACCATGGATATAATCACTAAGTTGCAAGCAAAAACCGACATGTTTGTATAGTAAGACTGCCAATCGAGAAATGATTAACAGGTGCATTATTAGAGAGGATGCTAGTTACAATAGAGGTAGTGTCACACCCCTATTGGTGGAGGGTTGTTGCATGATCATTTGCATGTAGATATGAAGAAAGAAGTGGGGGTTACAAGGCTAGTGGCAAGCGAAACATTTGCACCAATAGAGGGCAGTACTAATTGAGAAAGATTTTTGTGAGAGAGATAAGAAATGGGAAATAATTGTGAGGCTACACATGAATTAGAAATACATGAAAAATTTATGAACTTGTTTGACGTAAAAAGAGTTTTATTAAACATCTTTTTCTATAAAAAGCTAAATTTTAACAACAAAAAAGCATTAAACACTGACTTACATCAGAGTTGGAAAAGCAATCAAACATGCTTGATAGTACAACTTCAAACCAATAGAGTTACTTTAAATGCTACTTACAAAGTTAGAAACTTTCAAATCCAAGGTGCATAATGCAGTATTTTGTTGAGATTGACAGATAGGTTCCACTGGAAAAATAATAAGAAAATTAACAACAATCATCCCATACCCAAATAGAATTGACAGAAAGGAAGAAATACAGAAGATTTTCATATTCAAATAAAGAAAGAAATTATATGAATGTTTTTGATTTCTTTACTTACAATGAATAATAAATGTACGTGAATAATTTCAAGGTGCTTACCTTCATGAATTTTAAAAATGTTACAATCACATATATATACAAATATTGCTAAACAACAAAAATTAGACAAAAGCAGGAAAATGAAACAGTTTTCTGATAATTTCACAAAAAACACCACAAATATTAATGACTTAAGTTTATTAGAATATTAAGCAAGTTTTTACTGTAATTATTAAAATATGGACACATTTTATGAACACAGACATGGCCAAAGGTGGTATTTCATAATTTGGATTTTAAAAATATATTTTTAGTCTTACAATAAATCTTTAAAATTAAAAATGCATAGAAAATGTGTAAAACTTGTAATCACATGTATTCAGTTAAAATATTAAGAAATGAAGTTAAAAAGAAGATAAACCTACATTCTTTGATGTCCTGCATCAATTCTGGGAAGGTTTTGTTGAAAGATGCTTCATTTTCATTAACATCTATTTGTAAAATCTCATGTTCTTTCTACAAAAAAGCAAAATTATGGAGATTTATCATAAAAAGAAAATCAAATACAACAACTTACACACAAAAATGGTGCAACATTCTGAATATTTACCCAAGAAAAACTGTTATTGCTTATTACAATATAAATTTAAGTTACACTTTCAAAAATTACATGAGTCATTGAAACTGAGAATTATAATCGTGTATCAGTTTCACGTGCTGTACATAAAATTTAAAGCATGCAGTGGCATCTTTGGTAGTCACATTTTGTTTTGCAAGGCATGACAAACTATTTTTCTGACAGTGTTTATTAATTTCTATCTTTGAAAATTTTGTTTTTGTACTCACTTTATTTACTGAATGTATTATGGTTATTTTGTGCTCACATTAAGATCATTCTTTTGTTCATATTTAGTTGAACTTGCTTTAAGTTGTAATTCTCATTACAAGCTAGCACTTCCTGCAATGGCCTGTGCTTCTAGTTGTGTGAATGCAATGTTTGCATGAAAGAGCACTACCTCATGCACTTTTTTGGCCACAAGTCACCTCATTGCCAGTGAGGGTAGCTGTGCTGATGTATATTGGCAAAAGTCATGCTCCTGTGATATATATAATTAGCATGCATTTTCTACCTTATTGTTTTTATATTTTTTCAGAATTTGTCAAGAAAGTAATTTAGTTGCTTTTGTTCTAGCTGCCATTGTTCTTAGTCATTCTCCAAAACTAACACCTGGTCTGTCCATGGGAGATATAGCTGCATCTAGTGTATGAAAGAAGACAGCAGTTTTCTCCATTGGTCAGTCAGGTGATACATCAAGATTATAATCTCCCTAATGTTTAAATGGGATTGATCAACAATGACAAAGGTAACACTTGCATCTTGAGAAGAGCATTATTACAGAATTTGGTACATAACATTACAATCTCTTAGTCAGCTCTGTCTCTCTTATAAGGTCAAGCTCTCAGTTTGGTAAGTTTTAAGTTCTTTCTTTAACTTAAATAGGTACATACTTTCCTAATGTTTAATCTCAAGAACTAAAAATTTTTTTAATAAACCTCTTAGTGAGTTCTTAGGAGAGTTTAGAGAGCCAACTATCAAGTAAAGCCATTGTTCTTTGTCCTATAAGTTTATTTAAATTTGATCATTTTTTGAGTTTAAATAAAGATTTGTTTTTACTGTGTGTTTTATATTTTGTCAAGTCACTTTCTTTCTGAAATTCAGCCAACACATAGAACTCAGAATTATTTTGTAATAAAATTCTTGTTACTCTGTGGATCTGTCTTGTGACTCTTGAGGGAAATTAATTTCATCTGAAAATACCACAGAGTAGATAGGAAGGAGAAAAAGTTGGTACTATGACCACAGAGTATTATTGCACAGTCTTCTGTTTTTATGCTGATGTGTGTGTGTGTTTCCCTTTACTTGAACTCTTATGTTTTTTAAGTTTAAAAATATTTCATGCTTGAAGAAAGGGCATTTTGCACAACAAGAGTACTCCAGAGTTAGGTCTAAGAAAAGTCCTCCCCTGGACATCAGACTTTTGCCAATGCTATGAAGGTCCATGTCATATTTCTCATTTATGCTGCAGACTCGGGAAGAATAAGAAACTGCCATAATCTGATGCACATAGAATGGCTGATTGAAATCTGACCCTGACGAGTTGTGCCAAGCCAGTTAAAATTTGAGCAGTATCTATAGAATTACCAGGCTTTTGCCAGCCAGGGCAACCAAACCTTAGTTCTGGTCAAAGGCATCCAAGAATAGCCAAGAAAGCCTGTAGATGCCATTGAAAGATGAAGTGTGCCAAAAGGAGATTTTTCACCAACAAGTGAGACAGCAGGCACCAAATGATGAAGAAAGATTATGAATTATGAGGCAGTCATTGTCCTCTCTGTGCCAGAACACTTTGTAATATCAAATTAGCTATGATTAATAACCTGTAAAGTATTATTTGAAAACAAAGTGCAGTTGTAATTTTCATTAATATTTGTAAGAGAAGGTTTGAATTTTGATATTAAAATATTTGGCAGGTAGTGAATTTTCATGAAAGGATATGAGTAATAAAGAACTCACACTACAAAGTACAATAAATATATATAAATGTTTAATGTTATGAGATTTAAGCTATTCAATCTAGGTTAGGTACTAGTATGAATGGTCTAGTATGAATGAGGCATAAGTTATATTTATTTAATAATTTTTTATGGTGGCTACGAGATTGGTCAAATCTACTGAACCCGTAAAGAGATTCATTACTGAAAATAACAGATAAAATAAAATAAAATAAAAGTTTTTTTCTTAAGAAATGTTTGATAACTATTTGGACATTATAAAGCTTTCGCATGTGAAATTTTAAAATTTTCTGATGCATAAAAATATTTTTAATCTTAAAATAAAAATTAATTGGCATGTTAGATAGGCAAAATGTGATAAGAAAAAAAAGGTATGGAAAAAAAACATTGCTTTACAAACCTCAAGACTTAATTAAAAAATTTTATATTTTGCATATGAAAGCATTGTAATGTTTACTGATAATCTGCCAAATTTCCTTAACATTTGCATACTAATTTAAAAGTTATAGCATGAAAACTGTAACAAGCCCAAAATGGTTATGAGGTCAGTCCCATGCTAAATGAGTTAAAAGTTATAGTATAAAAACTTAATGTGTGCAAACGTGTATACAAACTCATGTATATTATACCAAGCCCATTGCAAAAGGGTTAAAAAATGTCAAAAGATTAGTAAGGCAAAATTTTCCTCTAATGAACCCATGTTGTCTATCTAGCATAATTTTAAACTTTGTTAAATGACTTTGCAAAGCATCTTTTATCAGACTTTCAAAAAAATTTTCAATACCGATGTAAAACTAATAGGTCTATAATTATTATAATTTTTATCACCTCCTTTGAAAAAAAGGAATAACATTAGTCAACATTCCATCCTCTGGAACCTACCCACTACTCAAGGACTTACAGAAAATATTAGCAAGTGGCTCACACATTGAATCCTTAGCCTCCTTCAAAACCCTTGGGAAAAATATTATCTGTCCCGAAGCCTCATCATTCTTTAATCGTCCCAATCATTTCCTATCACATCTAACTTTTACTGGTTCAATGCTGCCTTCTATATGCAAACTTTTTTGCTTGCCACTAGCCTTGAGGCTCTCACCTAATCCCACTTGTTTTGATGTGATATTGCTGTGTTCTTACATGCAAATGAGCATGCGACACCCCTCCACCAATAGGAGTGCTACACTTCCTCCCAGCACAGCAGCCTCCCTGAATGGAGTTCAGTATCTATCAGAAATACATTTTTAGTGCAGGAAAATGTTTACTTCCAGTATATTATATGTTGGAGGGACCGGTGCAAAACTTTACATAGACATCCAGGTAGCAGTAGGAAAGCCAGCCAGAGGGGTGAGCTGTACTACATGGCAGATCACCACCACCTTACTCTCTACTGAGTGGAACTAGTCACACTCAGGAGGCATCCTCCATGGTCAACCACCCTAGCAGTCAGAAATGGTATGAGTGTGAAGAATAGTGAATGAAGGCAGTCTATCACCCAATGAGAAGAAATGGCCATAAGATGGAGATAGATTGCAACAAGTGTGTGAGAGAATGTCCACAAGCCAGCCTGAACAATTTCTTTCAATGGATGATGGGCGTGAACAGCCAATGAGTGAATTAGGTAACAAATTCGATGGCAGTACATCCGGAAATATCTACAGGCATCTCCATCTAATAAAGAATATGCTAAATGGATAAGTTGTTGAATCCATCCAGTGAGAGTAACAGAAGAAATATCATGAATGGATGGAGGAGTCCATGAAATGAAGAAATGGGATCAGGAATCACAAAAGGAAGAAGTGCAGGACAAATAAAAACAGATTGTATGAACAGGACAGAGGAGGCAATTGGGAATAAAGATGTGAAATGGAAGGAAAAGATATAGGTATGAATGCACTAACCCTCATGTGCCATAGATGTTTTAGGGAGAAAAGTGTGATCCAGGAAGAGATGGATACAGGAGTGACAGAATAGAATGTGAGAAGAATTGATGCCATGGTAGTCAGAACATCGACAACCCCATACAAGAAGGAGAAGGAACTAAGTTTAAAGGGAGAGATGATATGAGGAACGGGAAGTCAAGGTTCAATGGGAGGTAGGGTATAGGTATGAAGAACTACATTAAGTTTCCAGTCATATAGGCTAAAAGGACAGAGTGGGTGATGGAAGGGAAAGGAATAAAAGAACACAGTAGGAACTGAAGAGGTAATAACCAGATGGAAATGGGAAAACCAGAAAGTAGCCAAGAGAGCTGCCTACTAACCAGCAATAGTGAAGATAAACTAGCCTTTGTCAAAGAGCCATGTCAAAATCTCAGACAGATGGGGAACAGAAAGATAAGAAGGTGAGACGAATCAATGCAGAGACCATCAGCAATAAATACACCATTTCTGCTGATAAATATCTAAGTAGGAGATGTGAACAAAATGAGACATGAAGAAGGCTACACGTGAAGAGTCCCTACCATTGTGTAAGGGACCAGACAAATCCCACACATGAAGCTGGAGTGATGACATGGCTGGATGGAAGAGAGAAGTATGTGGCTAAAGAAGAAGGGAGCAGAAGAGTATGAGGAGAGGAGAAAGTAAGAAGGCTCAGCAGAGGAAACCCTGATTGAACTAGCCAATAGGGCACTATCAGAAGGTTTAGTTTGAATTGTGTGCACAGCCAAACGAGGGCTATCTGAACTAGCCATTCTTAACAACAACACCCACCACCAGCTCTTGAACTGGATTTTTGGATTGACTGTCACAATATAATTCCCCCACAGTTGAAAGAGCAAGCATGTTCAGTGATGGGGCTACCAGAAAGACCCACTGTAAGAAGTGTCCTAAACAAGGGAGGAAACGAAGAGGGGGTAAGCACAAGGGAAGAGATTGGACCAGTCCTTACTGAATGCATCCATTGCCAGCACCAACGGATGTGAAAAAGGAGACCAGAATAGGGGAAGCTTGGCATTGCCATAAGTGGCAAAGACATCAATGTGAGGAATGCCTACGTGAGAGTAAAACACGTAAAAACACAAGGAGTGAGAGACCATTCCAGGGGAAGTATCTGGTTAATGCCTAAAGAGACAATCCCCAATTGAGTTGTCTGAATGACATCACCAAACAACCATGTTCAACTGGAAGAACATCAACCAAAGCTTGACAAACCACTAAGAGCTCCAACAGGGTTGATTCCTCCTGGTTCAATCAGCCTAAAATCTCATAATAACCAAGACAAGCACTTCAACTCCCATGGAAGCATCCATACAAAAGATGAAGATCCAACCATGAAGAAAGGAGAATAGCATCCCCTGTAGTATTGGTCCTGTTGAGCCACCAGGTGAGATCTCTGTGAAGGGAAGGGGGAAAGTGGACAAGAGATCCCAAGAGAGGTTCTGTTGATTGTGTAGAGTCCATTGTAAAAGACACATGTGAGCCCAATCTCAGAGGATAAGGGTTTCTATGGAAGCTCAAGAACTCAAAAGATCTTCTTGTGCAGGAAAATAAGGAAAGAGTAGAGCTATGGAAACCATGACCAGCAAATAAAGCAAAGAAGGCTGTTCCCTGCTGAGATGAGAATTGAAGAACACACCCAAATGAACCAGATACTGGGTAGATGTGAGATAAGACTTTTTCAGCTTGACCAGCCAACATAGACAAGCCACCAGCCGAAGAAGGAAAAGAGTATGGTTGAAGGAGTCCTGTCAGGATGGAGCTAAATGAATCCAGTTATCCATGTAAAGTTGAAATCACAATCCCAAGCTGTGAATGTGATGGGTGAAAGCATGCACTACATGACAAAAAATGTATGAAGTCAATGTCAGTCTGACAGGAAGAGCTCGGAATTGGTAAACTCAACCTAGATATACAAAGCAGAAGTAAAGTCTGGATGCTGGTAAGATGGTGATGTGAAAATAAGCATCAAAGATATTCACCTTGGTAATCCAAAGCCCTGGAGAAAATGAGCATCAGAGGTGAGAAAACTCTCCATGTAAACTGAGGAAAGTCGAAATCTGACTGAGATTTGAAATATCTATGACTGGATAGCATTCTTCAAATTTCTTAGGAACAACAAACAGACAGGATTAAGCCACAAAGGGAATTCATAGATCCACAAATCAAGACAAACATGCCCCCAATGTACCTGAGCCCAGAGTATAATCACTGATGAAACTGTTGGTACTAAAACCTACAGATAGTGGAAGAATGGATGGGGGAAGATGGAACGAGATAGAAGAACAAAGAGTGGAAAGAAGTTGGGAGGATGGAAGACCACAACTGGAAGAAAAGGAACTAGGAAAGATAGGACACAAGGGTAGCCAAGGAAAAATGGTATTACATGGTCTCAGCCCGGGACGTTAAAAACTCAGGTATCCCATCCAAAGATCATTTGCATAGGAAAGGAGTTAGAGAGGCCACTGAGAAAAGAGCAAGGTAAACATACTTGGGAAAGAAGGGTGAGCCTCCCCAACAAATCACAGCAGCAGAGTAATCAAGTGAGAAGGGACAAGGCCAAGAAAGAAGAATGCACCAATGTAAAAAAAGGAAGGGAATAAGTGTCTGCCAAAAACCCTTAGGAGAATGATGGATTGTTTTCAAAAGGAGAAGAATGAAGGATAGATAATGTAAATGGGTAGTAAGGCAAATGTGAGAAAACTGAGAATGAGAAAGACTAAGAGAGCCTAAAGTTTAAAAGTCCAAGAAAAGGGTTTCAGCTCGATGGAAGCCAAGACATATATGCAACCAGTCAAGGAAGATGAGGCACACTGGCAGACTTAAGTTGAGACAGAAGAATTGTTTGCAAATTTAGGTGGCGAAAATGAATGCCTAAAATCTACTTCCTCACTAATGGGAATTATAGGATGAGAGAGATCCATGTCAAGGCCCAAAAATGGCCCAGGCCACACACAAAACTCCATCACCTGTTGCACAATAGCTGTCAAATTCCCTGACAGACAATGAAGCACTCAACACCATTGTGGTAGTCTGTCTAGAGTGAACAAAGTCCAAATATTCAACACTAGACAGCATGGAAATGACTGTCTGTGTATAATTCATGCTGTGGAAAATAAGAACCACAAAGTCTGCAGAGGCAGGATTGTTTGAAAATAAAATATTTCCACAACAGTGGTTTTGTAGATACTTCAACCAAATGTGGATGTTTAGGAATTTCACATGAGTGAAAAAGAACACATCTTAACACAAGTGCCAAATTTAGAAGTGATGGTTGAACAATCAGTATAGAGAAAGCTAGCTGTGCTGGGAGGTGGTGTTGCACTCCTGTTGGTGGAGAGTTATCACATGCTTATTTGCATACAACAACACAGCAATATCATGCGGAAACGTGAAATTAGGTGGGTGTCTTAAAGGTAGTGGTGAGTGAAAAATTTGCATATAGAGTGCAGCACTGAACTGAGAAAAGGTAGATGTGAGAAGAGGTTATGTATTGTATCAGAAACTCACTACTACAAACTTCCTGTTCGCTGCAGCATAAATTTGAAAGATATCAATTTACTTGCATTGTTAATATCAGTAATTACAAAAACATCTCAGTTTAAATTTATTTTACTAACTTTCAGTTCCTTAGAATGTTCTATGGATTTGTAGCAAGACTCTGTAAATGGGTCTGTATCTCCAACATCTTGAATAGAAACCGGAATCTCTTCTCTCACCTTCTTAAGTCTTCCTTGAGACCTCTCGTCTTTGGTTGATGCTGGAACAAGCTGTAAGAAGTTCAACAATCAGATTTTTTAACAAACTTTTCAATTGATGTACATACATATCTATAAATTTGTGTTTGATTGATTTCGAAACTAAAACTGGTATGAAAACAAACATTCCTTGTGTTACTTTAAAAACAAATGTGATTTTTATTTAGTTTTTTTTAACTTGTCATATGAATTCTCAATTTTACTATTCTGTTATACTGTAAATTAGTTTAAGACTTTTTTATTATTTAACTGCTTGGTGACATTACTGAAGAACAACTCTCAAAATTAGAAATTAATATTTAATATTCATTATTAGCTCACATTATTTAAAACACCATTATCATAATCAGCTAATAAATGTAGATTTGAACAATATAATTTCAATATCTCTATATTTTAGATTTTAAAAAGATAAAAATGGCTTGCACCAATGTTTGTTAGAAAGTACAGTTTTACTTTACACAATAGCATTTTCAAATTAAAATTTCATAATTTTTCATTTATTCTTTATTATTCTGCAAAAGCTTCTGATAGTACACTCTATGAGCTGTTGCATGGAGTTATAATAGATTAGCAATAAATCTGAATTGAAAAATTGAAAACTTCCTTTTATGCATAAAAATTAATTCCAGCTCAAGTAAGTGGCAGAAAATTGATAAAACCACAGCTATGCCATTGGTTTGTTTTGCATATTGGTGCAAGGCTATACAACGAATATCTGTACTTGTTTTCATAATTTTGAAATGATTTAATGAGAAGGCTGCTAGTCAACAGTACCCACTGCCAGCTCTTGAGTTACTCTTAATTGAAATAGTGGGATTTGACAATCACTCTTTATAAAGCATATATGGGTCCCAAAATGCAAAACACGTATTTCTGGCAGCAATGGGAGCACATGGATCATTGGATCAAGATTCTGAAACTATAATCATGGCCATGCCCAGCTCCCTGGTATAGCATTTACTGAATTCAAACCTCACGTCATGACGACAATGATGTAAAGAAATAGCTTTAATTGACAAGAAACAAATCTTGAAATAATGAACAATTTTAGTACAAGGGTCAAAATACTTAAATTTATAATCAAATCTCAAGAAAATACTGAAAATATATCTCAGTAGCCCAAGTTATTTAGATGCTAGGTATTTATAAAAAATACTGTTTCTAAGAGTTAACTTTTACTCAACCCACAAGACACATCAGATTGGTAAAAAGTTCATTAACTCAAGGAAGTATCATACTAATTACCCGTGGAAAGATGTCATGCAGAGTTTCCAGAATGTTTAAACCTGATAATCTTCCTTGAGCAATAGACACATGATACTGTGTTCTTCTAATATAATGTTGAATCTGTAGAGAACAAAATAATTTTAGTTGAACCTATAGTCATGGATTCACATTTCACATATTGAATACTGGTTATTAACAGTTTCTCAAGAACTCTTAATTAATCTATTTTTTGTATTCTGAATTAGACTGTTTTGTTCAAGTAAACTACAATCCAATCACAAAATTTTGCCATTATTAGCTGCACCATCAACATTAATATATATATATATTCTGTAACAAAGAGGATAAAGTTTCTTTTAATAGAAGATGAAGTACATTCAACAGTTATGTCAGAGAGATCATGTCTTTAGTTCTGCTATTAGAGTAATTTATAAGTGCACCTGCCACATTATATTGAATAAGATATAAATATTCAACATCTTCATCTCTTCAAATATTAGGAATGGTACTTTTTTTAACTTAGAGTAGCACATTGCTATATGTTGTCTCTTTGTTTAAATATCATTAACTGTATTTATTAAGTTTGTAATTATTTATCATTTATCAATGTTTAATCCAATTTTATAAGATAGATGATAATAATTATGTGTATAACATACTTATTTGCTCAGAACTAATATGCATATAATCTCTCAATAAACACTTTTTCATGTTATTTTTATTAAAATGTACTTCTGTGAACAGTAATTATATATGATATATTCACATACAATAATTTTCAACATTTTTCCTTAAACGTTGTTATACATTTATACATTTGTGTTCTAAAAACAACCTACCTACAATACGTTTAAATCTAAATGAAAGCTTATTGTTCAAGCCAAAATAAACCAATTAAGTTGTTATGATTTAATAGATTTACTCTTTATTTCTTGTAGTTCTCTTACCTCAGAAAATCTGTTCTTGTTAACAATATTAGAGTAAGGGAATTCAACATTAAAATTCCTTTGAAATTATTGAAATTCTATGCAGTGTAGGCATAATATGGTTACAGTTTCCTAGAACTGGATACACCCTTGCTTTTTGAGATAAATGGCAATTGAGTTTTCTTTGGGTCAGAGGAGCTTGTGCATTTCAGGTATTCCTATTGAGCCTCTGAGCTTTTGCTGTTTTTCACCAGTGTAATTGTAGTATTTTACATGTGTGAATATTTCTAGGTTGCTAGTGTGATGTCATCATAGTAGTTATATGAATTTGAGGAAAAAGATATTTGAATTCTGGTGATTTGATCATGGTTGAGAGATGACTGGTCTGTATTTTCTAATGTAAAAATATGTTTCAAATTTTATGATTTTACACAACTGAGCTTCATCAGACTTGTGTCTTGACTTCTTTTGAAATGGTAGCTTGATAATTGATCTTTGGTCAGATGTGGTTTCTGGATTCAGTTCTCTTATAGCATTCTAGCATTTTTCAATCTTTATAAAAGGTTATATATTTATTTCTCTATTGCAGATCACAACACAAACAAGAAGCTTTGTAGATAAAATTTTTTTCTTTTCTGTTGTTTGTTTGTTTCAATACTTACTCCTGAATGTTTGTCTTATCTAAAGCCAATATTTCTATGTTTATAACATGTTTTTAAAATGAACAGTAGAATGACTTTGATTCTGCATTGTTAATAGGTTTCTGCATTTGTTCAACTTGAACAGTGTTGGTTGCATTTGAAGTATAGAGAAGTTCACAGAATGATTATATGATTGAAAATTCTGGTGTATAAAATTTTAAGTTTTTTCTTGTTATTCATTTTTCTGACTCAGCAATTTATGCTGTTTGATTATTCTGATTTTACTCATTGTGGGTGGTTGAAGTTGAAATAAAAGTAAGAGGGTTCCTATTTTTGTAACTGTGAGATGATGTTCATATCAAAAGACAAAAACATTTAAGTATGGTAAAATTCTCTTTGGGCCCGGCATGGCCAGGTAGTTAGGGCGCTCGACTCGTTATCTGAGGGTCGCAGGTTCGAATCCCCGTCACACCAAACATGCTAACCTCCGCCTTTGCCTGGTCCCAAGTCCAGGATGAGAAATGGGGAGGGTTGGGTGCGGGGCTAGCAACTCCACCCCGTAAAAACCAACCTGCTACAACTAACTGCAACAACACCTTCCGTTGGTGAGGTGTTGTTGCGGCCCTATGCTCCACTGGGAGTTTACAGGAATAAAAAAAAAAAATTATCTTCTCTTCTATCTGCATGGGCAGTTTAGGTTGATTGAATTTGGAAGAAGACTAGGCAGAATCTTATACAAGGCCATACTGCAAAAATGGGATCAATATTTTAAATCTTAGTATGGATTACGTAAACCTTTGGTTTTAAAGACTTCTATAAAATTGCCACCAAGGGTAAGTTAAGAGTGGAAAACTCATGAAAGATCAAAGTGGATGGCATTAAAGCTAAATAATAGGTCTTATGAATGTACTATCACATTTTTGATGTCTTTAAAAAAGATTTCTGAACTCTTGATACCTAAAGCTACATCAGTTATTAATGGGTTTAGAAAGTAACTGTGCAGTGCAATGGCCAAGAGTCTATGGTACTGTGTGATACATAATATAGTGGTAGGCTTGCTCCATATGTTTAGTTGTCAGGGTCATTTTTTTATAAATTTGTTGATTTCTTGTCCTACACTACTGTACAATCAGTTTTCATTTTATTATACAAGTCATTCAAAAACAAAAATTCACTATTAACCCAGTTTACAATTACTTCCTTGTGTAGATTATTTTAAGTTTATGATCAGATAGGATTAGTTAACATTCAGAAACTTTCTGAATTAGAAAGGTTATAAAATAAAAATAATTTCAACAGTGACATGCAGTCAGGGCATGAAAGTTATGCACTGCATGATCAATCAGAAAACTAAAAATGTAGCAATAACATTATACAATGAAATGTGTCTTTTATATTTGTTATTATTATTATTGAGCCATTTGTTTGTGTTTTTCTTTGCCCTGTGGCAGCATTCTCATCTCATTCTGCAAGAGCTTTGCATGTCTAGTCTCAATCATGTCATGCTAAACGAATTCTGCATGCCTAACCTTGCATTTCCAGCAGTATCCTGTTTTCTAAAGAGGTGTCATTACCCCCTGTTAATAAAACTTCTCACAACATACTGCATTAAAATAGCATGACAGCTAGTGCATGTGCAGAAACTCAATGTCAACAACATACAGATCGCATACTTTGCTTCACAAACTAAGAAGTCAGGATAGTTTTTATAATGCTGTTAAAGAAGAATTTCTAAAGAAAGATTGTCGGCTGGATTTCATAAGTAGGGTAAATAAACCTGTTCTCTGTATGTCTTTTTATTCTAAAGGTATATATCAATACACAAGTGTTATTTATGTATATTTCAATGAAATATTTTAATATTGTGTAACAAAGGAATATATTCTATTAATCCAATTGAATTAAATATCTTTTGGGTTGGCAGATAAAACAGGACAAAACCATTGCAACAACACTAGGAAAAACAGAAATATAAAATCTAAAGAAACACACATAAGGCATTCTTGTGATGTCATTAGAATCCAAGGGCAAGTTAGATCTTAAACACTGTACTAAAACAGCTGGAAGAAGATGCCATATAAATTCAGCTTGAAGGTAACAGTCAACTCAAAACTAACACTTTCTTTAAAATTCTAATGTTCCAAAACAGATAAAAATATATTCAGAATTCCTGGTAATACAATGAATAAAACAACTTAATTCATTAACAGCAAAAGTTCAAAGCAGAAAGACATATTTGTCCAATCAGAAAATCCACAGAGAGAGAGAAACAACAAGCAAATTCTGATGGCTTCAATAAAAAGTAATATTTCTGAGTGTTTTTTGCACCTACATGTTGATAAGTTTTGTGTATTGTGAGCAGGTTATGTGAAATAGCTTGGTTGGCTGCAAGACAATCGTTATTGAGAGTAATAACATTACATTACAGGTACACTAAAAAAGAAATTACATGTACACTAGAAAGACATTTCATTATAGGTACACCATAAAAAATCAACAAAACCATCTCATTGAATGGATGCATGTACAAATGAGATAAACATAAAACCTTTTCATTCTTACTACAGAAATTCAATCAGGTAGAATATAGTATAAAAGGTCCATAAGAAAGGGGGAGGGGTTATTTTATAGTTATATTTACATTGGAAAGAAACCTAATCCTAAATTTTCTAGTGTGAACTACAAAATTTTAATTAATTTTACCATAAAACATAACATTTTACTTTAACAAACCCAAAACAAAAACAACAATTCTAGATCAAAACCTTTAGTCTTACGTTCATTATCTATGGTAATAGCACAGGTAGAAATCTCTAATATAAAGCATAAGCTTACCTGTGGATAATCTTTTAACTTTTCTGATAAGGCTACAGTATATTTTAAGGTGCTCAGAAGTGTATCCCATGCAGGAGTACTGTGATTAAATAGAAGAAAACTTGCATCCAAAAACATCTTACATTCACAGTAAACTTTTTTTATTTAAACTAAACAGAATCTTTTTCTTCTTTTTCTAATTAAAGAAATAAAAAATCTTAAAGAGTTTGAAGAAGTTCAAACTTTTTTATTTTAGGTAAATCCTAGCACTATTTCACCCTTTAAAGTAGCTAGCCTGAATTTAAAACAAAGTTAAGATCTTGTTACAACATGTGAAAATTTTTTGTCAAAGTAGACAACTAGTTACATGTTATAAATTATAAAAAAATTAACAGTATGTTAAATGGCTTTATTTACTTAATAACTATTGCTCTTAAACATAAAATGGCAAACTTATCATAACAAAAGCTTCTGCATTTTACCACAAATATAAAATATAAACATAAGTAGAAAAGACATGAAAGTTTAAAAAACAATCTCATTAAGAGAAAGATCTCACATCTTTTGTTTACTTACGAATCTTCCTGGAAAGTAGCTATGAAAAGGAAAACTAACTCTTGCACTAATGTACTGATGGAATCAATGGGTACTTCTTTTCTCTGAGATATGTAAGGTTCTATTTCTTTTCCATACCAATCACATATATGTTGTCCAACATCTAATAGAATAATTTAATATAGAAATATTAAAGACTACTCATTTGCTTAATAGATTTTCATATCATCAATTTTTTATGAGTAATTTGTCACTAAATGTAATATTTTTACTCTGACTTAAAACACCAGTTTTCTAACAATGAATTAAAATACTGACAACATATCACTCAAATTACATTATACCACTCACAAGTGATGTACAGCTATGAAATGCAAGGTAGGCACTGCTTGCATTATGGCTTTGACAAATAAATGAATAATATATAGGTATATTTGTTTATTATTTTAGTTTTGATTTATGTGTAATTTTCTATGAAAGAAAGATCAATAATGCTTTTTATTCTATCTGTGCAAGACCTCACTTTTGGCAGAAACCCAAGCAGATGCAGCCAATCCTGTTGATCAAATAAACAGGAAAAAAGTCTCTGTAGTTAGATGTTGAACTTAATGTATTACATTTCATGGGGTACTTCTATTTCCAATTGCAATTCTTGACCAAGTAAATAAATAAAAGGAGAGAACAACACCTTAGAACAATGCTAGTTTATACTTTATGGATTTTAAATAATATAATGAGTTACTGTTTTCAATAATGTGGTCTGACAGTAATTGCTACTGAGACATTTCATCTACTGCACTACAATTGACTATGATATGGTAATTCTAAAAGAAGTTTTCGATCAATATCCTTTCCCAGACACACAATTTAATCTCATTTCAAAGAAATCGACAGCTACTTCCATTCAAAAATAACACCACACACACACCAACTTCAAAATCATGCTTGCCAAAATCCAAAGAAACATCACAAAGTATTTCAAGGTATGTGCTGAAAAAATCCACAATAACAAACAATTTAAATAATTGTCTATTATTAATTTTTCTATATACATTTGTGCTAATGACACATACACGTATTCTTCAGTTTTCATTTAATTACACTTGAGCACTAGTGCTGACCAAATAAGGAGAATTTATTTATCTTAAAGTGTTGAAATTCTTGTTTCTATTAGCATTTGATAGCTGCTGAGAATTTAATGTATTATTACTAAATTGTTTAAATTAAGAATTAGTTACTTGTAACTAGAAACATTGTACATCACAAATGCAGTAATAGTCATTAAAAATTAGAATTTTCCTACACTGAAAATATATTCCTGACAGGTACTTATTTCTGCTCACATACATAGCTATTTTCTTTCAATGCTGCCCTCTATTTGTAAAATTTGTCTCACATGTCACGAGCCTTTTATTCCTACGTACCCTCTCGGTTCATATGGTTTAACTGATTCACTCATGCAAATTATCATGCGACCAGCTTCTGCCATTAGACATGCCTCACACCCACACGTGACTTATGTGACTCCCTTTATGCTATTCTACCTAACTATCACTTCGAGTTTAGGCAGGCACTAAGCATCAGTAGACAGTGAGGTAGGAAGGATGGGAAATGTGAGAGGAAGTAAGTACTTGTCGGAAATATATTTTCAGTGTAGGAAAATTATAACTTCCAACAAGCTACCTTACTTCCACTCACATACATAGCTAGAATCCCACATTGAATAGGTGGAGGGACTGGTGCAAGGTAGAAAAGAGAAGGACACCCCCAAGAGGGAACCCTCAAAGGATGATACTTGGAAGACCACACCATTACTGTACTAGGTATACTCTTCACCCAGACATGAAAAAAGGTACGTGGCAGATCAAGTGCATCCAAAACTCTAACACTGGGAACCAACATCCACGCAGAGGTAGAACAAGGATCATATCATTGATAAGTCAACTTCCATCCAAAACTCAACCACCAGGGATTGATATCTAAATGGGGGTAGGAAAGAGGATCATACTGTCTTCATCTCAAGTTCAGCCAACTGGAGGGAGAGTTATCACCCCCGATCAGTGAACAGGGCACATGTGATCAGAATGAAATACAGATATATCCCTCTCAAATCAAACATATCAGAACCACCCTAAACACAGCACCATCTCCAGCATAAAGAGGGGGAGCATAAGAGGAGGAAATGGAGCAACGACCAAGTGCACTCATCGTGTACACCCTCAACACGTGTGTTGATTGGTTAAGCTCTAAATATGAAACTCAACGCCCGGGAACCGACATTCATGCAAGAAAAGGATGAGGGATCCCAATCACATGACATGTATGATAATATATGGGGATTGGCTCAGCTCTAAATGCAAAGCTCAACCACTGGGAACTAACATCCATATGAAGTAGGATGAGGGATCCCAATCGTCACACCATGAGGGTGGTCAATATATTGATTAGTTCAGCTGTAACTTCAAAACTCAACTGCCAAGAACTGACTTCTAAGTAGGGGTAGGATGAAGGATCCCAATCATGTGTACACTAGCAGAACACCACCACCCCACTCTCAACTGAATGGATGTGTTATTTTTATATTGTATATTTCACATTCAAGAGGAAACCACCATGGTCTACCACCACAGCAACTAGGAACTGGAATGTAGTAAGGACTCTCTAACTTCACTGGAAGAAACAAGGGGAAAAAACTTGATGCAGAGTCCGGAGGAACATTCATACCAGAGACAGTGCAATGGGCGACCATGAAACCCTATATTGTAAAGCAGACCAAATCTGATTTATTCAATCTAAGGAATGGCATGGATGGCCAGCTATCCCCTTCTGCTTTACCCTTGAAGTCCATGGGTGAGTACAGTCTGGAACAGCATATTTAAGAAGCAAATATCTTGCAAAGAATAATCTACAAGTGATCTTGCAGAACACTCCATCTCTAGTATATTACATAACAGTGTGCATTTAATGATCATGGAAGAAAAATAAAATAGTTTCAACATGGCCTTTAAAAAGGTAAATAGGGAAAAAAAAGGAAACTTACCCAGATATATTCACACTGAGGTCTGAAGAATGGCAACAGGGAGAATATGATAACCCTACAAGGAAGAAACAGCAACACAATGCAGATAGTGAGAGATTAAAAAATGTGGAGAGGTCCACATGACTGCTTGAAGAATTTCCTCCAGTGGATGACACAGATGAGATGCCAGACAAAAAGTGAGGTGTCTAGTCTGATAGGAAGACCCCCAGAATAATTTACAGGAAGGAAACAAGGAAGAATAAGCCACTCAAATTAAAAGCTAAACCCAGTTTGTAAGAATGGCAGGAAATAGATCATGAACAGAGGATAGTTGTCAACGGATGAATAGACAGGAACGGTAATGACAGAAGAAAGTTATGCATGCATTTTAACAATGAAAAGCATGAACGGGATATAGAAGTCTCTCCAGATCAGACCAGAAATAGAGGTGGGATATGGAAGGAAGGGAAATCAGCGAGAAGGAGGAATTACCCTCCCTAGTCACCAATGTCTTGGGAAGGAAGGATTGATCCAGGCAAAGGAGAAGATAGGAGGAATTATACAGAGTGCATGAAACATTAATGGCAAACAAATGTGACCAACAACCTCCACAGGCCAAAAGGAGGAGGAAATACACTTAAGGAATAAATGAAACAAGGAACAAGAAGACAAAGGTTCAAATGGTGGTAAAGTAAGGCGATGAAGCACTACATTGACATCCCAATCTAGAATAGCTGCATGCCATGGAGGGCAATTAATCCAAAAGAAATGTAACAGGAATTGACAAGGTATGAGAACCAAAACATTAAGGTATGGGGAAAATTGAAAGGTGTAGGATAAGGTGCCTGATAACCCGTGATCAAGGAGACTGAAGACTCCTGATCAAATAACCAAGTGAGGAAATCCATAATAACAGGAACAGTGGGATGAGCAGGGTAGAATAAGGTCAAACAATGAAGCCATTTGCCATGATAAACCAGATTTCCTTGCCAAGGACTTGATAACTATTGGATAATGCATGAAGATGAATGGCAAGAATGGAGGGATGAACTACCTGAAATGAGGCTGCTGTAGAAGGGATGGAGTGGTGGAAAGAGGCAATGGTGAAGCAAATTGTATCTGAAGCAGCTTCAGAAACCACAGTTGAGCCAGCCAATACACATTAATCAGAAGGACCTGACACAGAGTGGAGTGTATGATAGAAATCACCATGGGAAGGAGTCAGTTAGAAGAATAACCATAAAGTAATTTGTCAGTCCAACCCCGACTGAACACATCGACATCCAGAGCAAGTGGATGACGAACTGGAGACCAATACTGAGGTAACTTGGTAGTGAGGATAGTGGCAAATGCATCCAGGTGTGGGGTACCCACCTGAGTGCACAACTACTGGAAAACCTGAGGATCTAAAGACCACTCTGTCAGATAAATTTTGTTTGGGTGTGCAAGACAATCTGCAACCAGGTTGAAAGCACCTGGAACATGAAATGCAAGGAGATGAATACCTTGCATGCAGGCCCAAAACAGGAGATCCAGTGTTCAAGAACAAAGGGAACTAGAATGGTTGCCTCCCTGGTAATTGATATATGGCACAATGATAAAATAGTCTGGATGGATCATACCAAGACAATTGCAGGCAAGAAAAAGAAAATGATCCAAAGCCTGCTGAAGATCAGGCAGCTACAGGATATTGATATGATAAGACCTTTCTGTCATAGACCATAGACCTCAAGCAACTTGGTGCTCTACCCACACTCCCCAGCCATGAAGCAAAGCATCTATGAAAAGATGTAAATCCAGATGAGAGGGAGGAAGTGGAATCCCCACTGAAGAGTAAGCCTTTTTCAACTACCAATGCAGATCATCAACAAGGGAAGAATGAAGGGTAACAGGACTATCCAAGAGATCCCATGCAAGGTTCCATTCACTGTCAAGAGTCTTCTGAAGGGATCTCATATGAGCACGATCCATGGGGATAAGTGCCACACTTAGAGGACCACATCCCAGAGATAGAACCTCATGAGCAGTAAGAGTATTGATGACTGCCAGCTCTATTGAATGAAGTTGAAGAGGAGAAAGTTAGGCCCGACTGAGATGAGTGTTAAACAAAACACCCAAATGGATAAGATATTGGGTAGGAGCAAGGAAGGATTTCTCCAGCTTGATCATCCAACCAACTAGAGCCACTTCCAAATGAAGCAGCCGAGTGTGTTGGGCAGATTCCATTTCAGAATGAGCCAAGAGAAATCAGTCATCTATGTAATTGTGTAAGCACAACCTTCGAGTGTGCATAACACCCACAAAAGCATTGACTACCTGACAAATAACTTATGGGGCTGTAGCAAGCCCAAAATGAAGGGTATAAAACTGATAAACCCCTCCATGATGAACAAACCAAAGATAATGTCTCAATTGTCTCAACCTTGGTCATCCATAAACCCAGAGAAAAAGCCCATCTGAAAATGTGAGATGGCTCAATGGTAAAACAAAGTTGCACCAAAAAGTGATTGAGGTGTGACCGATCTATCACAGGCCACCAGTCCCCAGTTTTCTTGGAGTCCACAAACAGCCTGAAATAGAACCCTGGAGAAGAGTGAACTACAGATCTGATGGCATGTTGAAAAAGAAGATCTTGTACAGCATCATACAGACACTGAAATGTGGGATGAGTCCAAGGCAATGGAAAGGAAAGGGGTATCTGAGTCAATGGAGGAGGGAAGAAGAAATGGATGACAAGTCCTTCTGAAGGACCCATAGATCCCTGGCAATATCTCACCATAGATGAACAAACTGTGATAAATGAGCCCCAGACTGGAACCCACAGGGTAGTCACCAATACTACTGGCAACATCGTTGAAGAAAATGACAAGAACATCCCCTTGTGGAAGGAACAGGTAAGGGTTGGGAAGGAATAGGGCGAGGAACAGATACAGGGGATTGTCGAGGCACCATGCGATATAATGATCAACCAATGGGGAAAAAGTACATTGCTGTCTCACAAATTCCATCCGGGATTTCAAAGTCACTGGGAACTCTCCAAAGACTAGCCGGTGGAAAAAAGGGGTGAGGTATAAGTCCCAAAGATAAGGAGAAGATACACGTATGTAGGACAAAACTGCATCTCTCCCCAAAAGATCCCAACAACAGAGGAACCACGTATGTAAAGAAAGAGCCAAAGTTGACAAATGTGCCAACCCTCAGGATCATGGTGGATCACCTCAGTTTGTTTGTTTGTTTTTTATTGTAATTTTGTCACAAGGTTACACTAGTGCTATCTGTGCTAGCCATACCTAATTTAGCAGTGTAAGACTAGA